ACTTTAGTAGTTGTCTTTCTTTCATTCCTTGCCAGTTCATAGTGGCTGGCTGACAACAACAGCCTCATTACCATTAGCACTCCTGCACTCACTCTGCGTTAACTCACTAGCTGCTGTAGCTGAGTTTTGCTGATGTGGAATAAGGCATAATCAGTAAATGTAATTATCAGAACTTTGTTTTATTGACATATATTGTGGAATCACAATGGAATGTTAGTGAATGGAGGAATCCAAGCATGCTTAGAATAAAATAGTATTGGCTTTTCATATGTCTGGGATACCTGCAGTGAGCGAGATCTGTTCTCCTGCTGCACCACAGAAAAAGTAAACCAGCCTCACTGTGTCTGTGCCTTCTCTGAACATCCCTTTCTGTGATCATTAAAACAGATACACCTATAAACAATATCCATATCTTCTTGTGTAGAAGTATTTTCTTTACCCAAATGGTGCAAATGTCAGTGACAAACAGATTGCATTTTAAATGTTTATTTGTTTTACCCCTTTTAGGCCTACTTGTAAAATAAAACCCATCATTCTGAACCTTCACTGCATGTTTGCCTCTGTAACCACCCTGCTCCTGCCTTGATTTGCTTGAGAAAATAGGGCTCAGGTTTAAAAAAACTGAAATGTCTGAAGATTCAGTCATCCGGATCATAGTTATCCAAGGCAGGTTAAATCTAGAGCGACTGGCCTGGGTGATCTTCAATCAAGTCCAGTGGCCCTTGATTGACAAATATAAATTCAGGCTAAACGATGCCAAAGCAAAAGATAATGACGTGACAGTCATAATTACAATAATAGTAAATAACAAGCATGTTGTCATATCATGAAATGTGGACTTTTAATAGTCGTTTAAATGAAGTAGTGTACATTTAAAGACACTTTGTGGTGGGATTATTTGATGATGGTGAAATAAATGCATTATAATATTTTTGTAGGAATAAACAGATAAAAGTATGATCAGTTTGCCTAAAGAATCCAGCATTGTCTGCAAAGTGTTCAGTTTTCATTTTTTACAGAAAAAAAATCTATGCAGTATTCAGTAATGTAACATTTGACTTTTAATTTCAAGTGGAGACACACACAAGCCCAAACAGACCAACTTAACTTGGATAAGGGAGTTCCTGTACTGTGTCTGATCTACAATGTCTGAGCACATTGTTACCAGTTAAACACTGGGTTGAACAGTAAGTTGCTCTCTATCCAACTTGGCGTGTTGTGAGACTGGTTTACTCTCTCCTATTACATTGCCCACCTACTCCTGTCTGACACAATATCACACATGCTGAATCTCCTCTTTGTGCACTTCATGGAAATAGTATTACTGTTTGCACTATGCACACTGATGTATCAGACTGATAAGATTTACAATTATTCATTTAGTTGACGCTTTTATCCAAAGCGACTTACATACATGCTATACATGTCAGAGGGCACACGCCTCTGGAGCAACGAGGGGTTAAGTGTCTTGCTCAGGGACACACTGGTGTCTCACAGTGGGAAGACGAAATGGGTTATTTCTTTCCAGTTTAATTTTTTATTCAGTGTTAACTTAAAATTTAAATGCACTTAAAGTGAATGCTGTTGCTGTTGAATGCAACATGACTGGCACATACTTTGTTGGCAGCCAAGTAGTGCCAGACAAAGGTGTTCAAGGGAACAGTCATGCTGCCTGAGGTCCTGAATATGGACAGTGAAGAGCATCTCAGAGCCGTGGAGGACTTCCAAACAGACTTTTGGGATTAAGGGCAAGTAGGTGAGTGTGCAGAGAGGGACAGAGGTGTAGGTGTGTGTGTGTGTGTGTCCAAAAGCTCTACCACAAATCTGTCAGTGATTCGTACAGGATCAGGTGACCTTAGCCTGTGTGCTTGTGTGTCTGTATGTAGTGTGTGTGTGTATGCAGGTCTTTGCACGCTATAAAATGTCCTCTGTTGTTCTCGCAGTGTGTATTCATTGTACAGAATGTTTCTGTGCTGATTGCCGAGTCAATTTTCTGTCTAAATGTAGCACAGATGGATGATTCTGATTCAGACGTGAGGACAGACAGACTAGAAGTTATTGAACCACTTTCATTTATGTACCTTTGTCCTCCATCCTGATCTGTCCTCCTCTCCATCCTCTCCCTCTCTCTCTGCCCTCTTTCTTTCCATTTGTTCCTCCCTCACTCTCTCCTTTAATAGGATCCTTGGTTTGTGCAGGGAGGTAGAGCTGTGTAGAGGTCAATAGCTCCCATCTGTCACAGAGGAAGCTGTGTGGTCTATGACAAACTGCCAGTCCAGCTCTCCTTAACAGCATTCACTCTCCAGAGACCATCTTCAGCCTGACATTCAGCCTCCACAGTAAATAGGCTGCTAACCGCTCTAACTAAATGCTGGTGAAGAACCAATATCACAAGAGAATATCATGCTTTGTGAGTCTCCTTTGAATATTAATTATGAACAGATAAGGCACATAAGGCCAAAATGTTATCACGATAAAAAAAAGTTCATATCATTCGATATTGATAATTATCACGATAAATCATTATTTCTTTCAAGTTTAAAGGTTACATTTTTGCTCCTGAGTGAAAGTTGAAGAAACCAGATGGTTAATAGTGTGGTTAAACTTTTCTTTATGGTCAGAACGTGTGAAACAGTAGATCACTTCACAAATCTGAGGTAGAACATTCAAAACTATTATAATAAAATGCTTTTTCAAAAAACATGACTAGGAAATCTTTCTGCACTCACTTTTCCTCAACAAAATAAATATCTTAATAGAAAAATTAAGTGCTAATTTGTTGTTGATTCAAATGAATTAAATCAAATATTTATAACATCTGTTATATTGTTACTGAGGAAAATTCTATTGCGATAATTATTATTGTTTTATTGCCCAGCCCTGCTGTCACCTGCAGCTCTTCATCTAACAGCCGACTGTGGTTTGTATCTTCTTCCTCCATGCAGTATCTAAAACTGATCCGCTGACCAAATAGTACGTAGAAGTCCATATGTTGTTGTGTACATCAATTTATATTAAAGATAAGTACTGCTGATGGACAGCTTTTAGCAATCAGTAAATAAGGCTGGTATCTGAACGTACAGACATGTAGAAGTGAAACTACTGTAAACTCCAAACCACAGAGATTCACGAGGAAGCTACAGAAGTACTAAGAGCTGAATTAAAACTGAGCTGTCTCAATAATGGCCAACACAGACACACACATTAAGCCAGTCAGCTTAACACAAGACACAGCGTGGGTGAGAGAGGAGATCATCCTGTGGTCTACCTGTCTGCCCTGCTACAGGGCAGGACCTCAAAACACACAAACCACAGTGGAAACTAATGCTCAACATGTATATAATGTAATCTCGTAGAACCACATACCACTACTCAAAACTTAACATATAGTTGAATTAACATTGAAAAACTGATGATTACAAACATCAGAAAGGAATTTCTGGTATCCAGAGCAAATATCTTTTCACCTAGTGACCAGGTTTCTAATGTTTCTGGTGAATCCTGATCTTTCCTCTGGCAACAGCATCAGGCCAAAACTTCACAAGAAATATCCAAACTGAACGCCACTTACTGAACAGATGCATGCTCCCCATTGGATGGACCCTCTCCACAACTCACTAGACTATGAATTTCAAAAACCAAGTTAATTCATCCAACGCTTCCATATTGAGGGGTGTTATGAACACTGCAGTATCTCGGGGGTTGTCAGCAGGTCATTGTTGTTATTAATAAAATTGCAGTATTGGTCTGACAAATCTGTCACTACATGTTGTTCTCCTTGGGCTCCAGACAGACAGAGTCTGTAATTGTCTCTAAGAGCAGTGATTTGCTGGCTAGAGCACACTGTGTGTGTGTGTGTGTGTGTGTGTGTGTGTGTGTGTGTGTGTGTGTGTGTGTGTGTGTGTGTGTGTGTGTGTGTGTCCTCTTAAAGAAGACATTTACAGGACACTGTGACCCCAGCCTGGCATATCCACCAATCACTGCAGACTGCAGAAGATTACAGCAAACCAGCAACCAAGACTGGTTAGACAGAGGGGAGGGAGTGGGGGGTGACAGGATACTGAGGGTGAGAGAGAGAGACAAAGTGAGTGTAAAGAGAGGTGAGAGGCTTGAAGGCGAGAGAGGATAGAAGTGAATGGACGGTTAGAGAACCAGAAAGGAGGGAAAGGGATCATAAGACAGAGAGAGATGGAGAGGAAGTGACATCATGATGGGAAGACACAGTCGAATTCTGACATTTGACAGGAAACAAACAGGGTTATAAGGTGGGGTCTACCTACCACTTCATGTCATTAGAGAGAATCATCAGTCATGTGAGCAAATGTAAAGCCATTTCTCCCCTTCAGTCTCACCCTTGTTCGTCCCCCTTCTGGTTGTTTCTTCACATAGTGATGTTCCTTGCTATGATTAGTGACTATTCAGCCCCTCATCCCTTCTCTCCAGGCAGTTTGTATTTAACCATCACATAAGGCATCTAGGTTTACCCATACTCAGGGAACCAGAAGGAGTGGAGTGGATGCAACTGTTTACACAAGGAAAAACATGTTTCTTTTGATATGTGGATGTTTGCAAAACTGGTGACATGGCTGCAGAGACGGCATCAGTGCGATGGAGGAACAAACCTTTAACTTCAGACTCACAAAATATGAAAAGACTCATGACTCAACTCTTCACACAGACTGTGGTGTAACTTGAAACTAATTATCTGACCTGAAGCCAGTGTTCAGGGCTAGATTTAGCATTGCACTCCTGCCAGACTCAGCAGTGGATGCAGCAAAACAACAGAGCAGTCTTTGTTATTCCACGCTTTCTTCTTTCTTGCCAAAACATAGTGCCTTATGTAGGCACCATGTAAGTTCAAAGTGCCTCAAGTGGCCTCACAGGCTTTATGTACTCTAACACCTGTAAACAGACAGGCAGAGATGCCCTTACTAAAATAATGTTCTGTTTCTGTTTCTGAGTCCTTGTCAGGTGACTCATCAAGTGGCCCGCAGTCTTACCTGTCTGCCTCGTCTCTGTTGCCCTGTTTTTCAGAAAGCTCCTGATCGAGGGAGGAGGAGGTGCTTCCCTCTCGGCTGACCCCACTGTTACGTCCTGGGCTGTTGTCAGCTGACGCTCTCCCTCCTCCTGCAGGACGGGGGTTGGTGCCATCGGTGTGCTGTTTCAGAGTCTGTAGCTTGGCCAGAGGGATGATGTCGCAGCCCTGGGGCCGGTGCCACACTGTGCGCTGGGTGGAGGCGTTGTAGTAGTAGAAGCGCGAGGTGTTGGGATCAAACAGCTCCCACCACTGGTTGTCACCGGTTCGCTTGATGCAAACACCCTGCGGGGGGTCCCATACGCACTCACCCGTCAGCAGGTTGGCGTACATACGCTCCCGTGTGCGCGGCTCAATGATCTCCACCCACTCCAACCTGCAGGGGGAGAGGTCAGAATGAGACTTTTTTACTGGGGGTCCACCTCTGCCTGACAGCCAACAACAGATCACTGCATTCTGAAACTGACCACTCAGCGTGAAAAAGAAGCAGGAGCATCAACAACATGTTTTCTGCAGATCTTAAAAGCAACATCTTTTTACAGTGTTACTAATTTTATCATCTTTCTTGGAAGATAAAACTTTGCTTTAATTTATTTATTATTGATGTATTTATTTTTATTTATTTTTTATATTATTTACCACAGGTGGACAACAAATGACAACAGTACTTGACTGAGTGTACTGTCAACATAAAAAGGTGCTGGGCGAGCATATTGTGGGTTTTTTGTTATTTGGAGCTGTCATATCGGGGTTGGGAAAATGTGAGTGAGGCGGTGTAGACACAAATCAGCTTTGGATGAAGTGCAGGAAGGGACAGTGGGTGTTATGGATCAGATTGTCCTTTAGGGCTGATGTTAGCGTTTCTGTGTGGTCCGTTAACAGACTGAGCGAATGGGTTCCTGATCATTTAGTCTTTCCAGTTGAGTAATAAGGTTTTCTTGGCCACGTTTAATGCAATTAGAATGAAAGTCTGAAGATGTGGTATTGTAAGAGAAGAGAGATTGCCTAAAAGCCAGATAGAGGGGAGAGAGGGATGCTGAGGTTGAGGACCTCTGACCAAAACTGTTGTGGAACGCCAGAATGCATGGACTTGGCTTTCCAATGCAGTGGGACAATGTTTGCAGGTTTTGCTGTCTGTGAGTGGTGATGTGCTCTCTTTTTAAGTTGTATGGCATGGAGAATGTATTGTTGCGTATTGTCTGATTGGGGTAAAATCAAGTCCATTTGCCTTGGTACTGAAGCAGTATTCAGTCATTATTTGGGTGAAAATGACGTTTCTTTTTATGGTCTCTTTGGAATGTATGTACCGGTAGTGACAGTGATGGGGTAAGCCGGACGTGTGTCTGAAATGGTCATAAGAGAGCTGAAAGGTGCCCCAGGCTGGTTACTCCTCTCCGTTTCCACACAGAGAAGTTGAAGAGTTCCTTTTTGGTTTTAAACATGGAATTATGCCAGATAGGAGTGAGAGTAGAAGGATATAGTTCAAGGTTTAGTATGTTTGCTTTCCACCAGGCAGTGAAAGTGGTATTTATCGTGTTAAATTTAAAGCAGCTGTCGGTCTTGATTGATGTATCTATGAATACAATATGCTGAATGGGGACATCCTTACAGACGGTCTATTCACTATCAAGCCAGGCAGAACTGGAGTTGTTTATCCAGTGTTGGATATACTGAAGCTGGTGGGAGAGAAAGTACTGGTAAAAATGTGGTGCATCGAGGCCACCATATTGTTTGGCTTTTTTGGAGTGTAGTTATTTAGATCAAGGGCCTTTTGCCTTTCCAATAAAATGTATATTTAGAGAGAACAACCCAGGAGTAGTATTAGCATGCTAGGCCAACAATCAGTCAGCTGTGTGACTTTATTTCCGTGCTGTGACGTCTTTTAGAGCACATAAACACACCTTCCCAGTGCGGAGCTATTAAAGCACCAACGCTCTGCGGCTACACCTAATGTTACAGTCTATGGGCTACACACAGCACAACAGTCGAACAAAAAAACGAAAAGGCAAACTTATTTACTGGCAATGTGAAAGGAGTCAATCACCTTTAAAAAACAGCATACGTGCTGCGTCTTTCCAGTTGATGTTACGTCATGTTGCGGCAAAAAACTGAGCCAGGTTCAACTTTTTTGCCTGACAGTCCTGCAGTACTCTGCTGAGAGCCCTCTGCTCTGGCATCCCAGCTGCACTGCCAGATTGGCTCCATTCAAATGAATGAGAGGAGCAGAGCTGAAGTCTGTCTGAAAGTGGCCTTAGTCCAGACACTAACAAAATCTGGGCACTCATCTAAGAGAAGTGGGCTTCTTTGTGATCCACAGACAAGCCATCCCTACAGAACAAACAGGAATCCCAGCTGCTGAGCCACATCTTTCACAGAGCAAATCAGGGACTGAGGTGTGGCTGAAGTGCATCTGAATCTGATGATCCACTCACACCTGAGCAGTACTGACAGTAGAACTTCTTCCTCTGGATGAGGGAAGCCCAGCATCAACCACTGTCCTGACAGCTGATCCATCAAATAGGGACTTAAGTGCAACCACTGCCAAAACAAGTCTTTTCCAATACCCATGATGCTCCTGCTCCTATAAGACAATCAATGTGCTACTTACTTGCTAAATACGCATGTATAACTTTTTATTTTTTCTATTGTATGTTACCCTATTCTAATATTAATGTAATGATCTGTTCTTTGATTTGGTTGTACAGCCTTGTGTTGTATAAGGATAAATAAACTACCAGGATCCTTGACAATCTAACATTTTTTATTCTGTTTTGGTCGTTTCATGTTTGGGAAGAATCAGAATATAGCTGATCACTTGTTTCCTTCATAACATGACAGACACGCATAACCATCTCTAGGGTTTACAGAGAATGGTCCGAAAAAGAGAAAATATCCAGTGAGTGGCAGTTGTGTGACGCCTTGTTGATGTCAGAGGTCAGAGGAGAATGGGCAGACTGGCTCCAGATGACAGAAAGGCAACAGTAACTCAAATAACCACTCGTTACAACTAAGATACGCGGAATACCATCTCTGAACGCACAACAGGTCGAACCTTGAAACAGATGGGCTATAGCAGCAGAAGACCGCACCAGCTGCCACTCCTGTCAGCTAAGAACAGGAAACTGAGGCTACAATTTGCACAGGCTCACCAAAACTGGACAATAGAAGATTGGAAATATATGTTGGGCTCGTCTAATGAGTCTCGATTTCAGCTGCATTCAGATAGTAGGGTCAGGATTTGGCGTAAAAAAAAAAACGGTTCAGGCTGGTGGTGTTGTAATAATATTTTAATAATAATATTTTCTTGCCACATTTTGGGCCCAGTTGAACATCGTAAACACGACAGCCTACCTGAGTATTGTTACTGACCATGTCCATCCCTTTATGAGCACCATCTTCTGATGGCTACTTCCAGCAGGATAATGCACCATGTCACAAAGCTCAAATCATCTCACACTGTTTTTTTTGGGATGTGGTGGAATGGGAGATTCACACCATGGATGTGCAGCCGACAAATCTGCAGCACTGCGTGATGCTATCATGTCAATAAGGACCGAAGTCTCTGATAAATGTTTCCAACACCTTGTTGAAAGTATGCCACGAAGGGCAGTTCTGAAGGAAAAAGGGCATCCAATAGTATAAGTATAAGTTTTATTTGAATAAATTGATATCCATTACAAGTTGGCACTACCTTGGCCAGCAAAATTGGTGTACCTGATGACTTATTAATAGTAATATCAGTTCTATGTTCCTTTGTGGGGAAAATGAAACTGATGCAGTTGAAATTGTTAAAAAATTCAAAAACAAACGATCAACTGTGAATTACCATTGACATGGTAAGACCTCTGACCCATACATGTACTCATTTCAAAGAGATACTTTGCCTAATAATATAAAATCAGCAAAAGTAGTTTAAATATTTACAAAGGTAAGATAAGCACTACATGGACAACTATAGACTGCTATCTCCTCTTCCTCCATTTTCAAAAATATTAAAGAAATGATTTGTGAAACTATTGGATCTCTTCATTGCTAAATATAAATTATAAAAGAGGTGGTATTATGCTCATTTTCAGGTTCAAAATCTTAATTAGGGGTTGTACCAGAACAGGTTTACATGGTTTAATTTTCAAAAAACACCATATTTTTCTCATACTGCACATTGCTGCAGCTCCTCTTTTCACCCTGTGTGTTGTACACTCTGCTCTTGAGCTACAGAGTGATGCATCTTACTTGTATAAAATCTTTGTTGGGAGTTGCACATGCGCAGTTCCCAGGTAAGGACTACTAGCCAATCAGAAGCAGAGAAGAGCGGGTCGTATGAAACAAGGTAGTGTGATCCAAATCAAAGCCGCTTCAGAGTGCGACCATAACCTAGCAGATGGTATAAGTTACACAACCACACAACGTCAAATCACCATATTTCAACTCAATTTTACATAAAAACTGGTGTTTGCTCAGTAGCTTTCACATTGGGTGTCACGTTAGCATTATAGCTATAACTCTAGCTGTGTTAGCCAACGTTTACAACAGCTGTGTCTCAATTCAGGGACCGCATCCTTCGAAGGGCGTGGCCTTCGCGGCCTACGAAGGCCAAACCGACCGTTGTGAAATGAGACGGTCTGGTCTACGGAGGACTGTCTATTGCGTCATCAACTGACCCCGCCCTTACCCATGTGTGGGGAAGTGCCGCTCCTGTCGCCTAGCAACCTTCACAGCTGTGGTCCACCGGCAATGGAGACGAATATTTTAATTTTAATATTTTACCTCTTAATAGAGGAACTAGAGATACTTCACCGCCGGCGCCGCCGCATGATGTATCTCAGGCTGAGAGAGGAGCCTGGCCAGGTAAATACGGGGGAAAGTAACTAAGAAACGTTACATTTTATATGTATTTAGGTACTATAGGCTTCCTAAAGCTAACAGTGATGTTAACCTCAGTTAACGTTGTTTATTGCTACTGCCATTTCACTTTAACAACATAATTTTCATATTTAAAGAAAACCTAACCTTACTTAAATATTAAAATATTGACAGTGTTTTTGTCATTGATCAGCTAAAGCAAGTTGAATAGAAAGATATACAAGCCTTATCTAACTAAGCTCTCTACACTTCATAACAGTTGTTCTTCTCCTTGTATCTCTACACCAGCCCCAGCCCCTGTACTGCAGGATAAATCTGATTGTGCCTGTGCTGGACAGGTTTTTTAGCCAGCAGGACACACGGCCGGATTTCCGGTTAAGCAGGGAGGCCCTGGGAGTGCTACCGGGCCTCCTAAACCAGGAACGGAGACACGGATGGGGTGCCACGATTGACACCCTGGTGTTTCTCTTCTTGCTGGCAAGCGGGGCATCATGCAGGGTGGTCTCCAGAGTGTTTGCAATGCCTCGATCCACTGTCCACCGCATCGTCCACAGAGTCACTGAGGAGGTGGTGGCCATTCGCCACAAGGTCATCCACCTACCGAAGACCCAGGATGAGTTACAACCGATATCCCGTGGGTTTGCAGGGCTGGCAAGACACAGAGCCTTTTTTAAAGCAGCTGGAACAATCGACGGCTAAATATGCTGTAAATACTATTAGTTATAAAGACCACAGAAAATAAAATCATTTATTTAACAAATATTTTATTTGAATTGATTAATAAATATTATCTAGATTATTATTTAATTATTTATATTATATTTTTCGGCAAGTCTCTCTAGTAGAGAGAACAGCCTGTCCATCCTCTCTCTGCTCTCCTGTGCTCTCCTCTCCTCTGCCTCTCTCTGCAACCTCATGTCTTCCTTCAGTAGCTGAAGCAGCTCATCCTCTCTGTCCCTCTTTCTCTTTCTCTTTCTCGGCTGGCTCTCCTCCTCCTCCTCTTCCTCCTCCTGGTCACCCACTGCAGCACTTGGCCCTGGTGTGTCCTCAGGGATAGAGGCAATTACGACAGGTGGGGTGGTGGAATGCTTCTGTCCCAACACCTCATCCATGAGGACAAACCAGGGCCAAGTTGCAGCAGTGGGCTTCCCACCTACACCCTCTCCTGACACTGGACACTTGCACTCCTAAGGCACAGGAAATCAATCATGGTAAATAACAACAGCAGAAAAACAAATTTCAGCAACTGTGTTTATTAACGTGCGTGACTAAAATGAATTAAATGAATATACAACGTACAAGGTAAATGTATGTATTATATTAAAACAGGGTTGTAAGATGAATGTGGTTTATATTTCCCTTTATGCTGCACAGTGAACGATTTATACAAAAATGTATACAGAATATATCAATTTCAAATCATACATACATACTTTGTATTTTTTTTTTTAATTGTCCCACTTTTTTTTCGCTTGGAGGGAAGTCACCTTCCCCCACAGGCCCATTTTCTCCAAAGTTGTCCTAATCACAGAGAAACAAAAGAAATAAGAAAGATAAGAAAAAACATTTGTCCCACAGTGGGGAAATTGCAGTACATGGCAATTGTGTGAAGACACAACAAAGGGCTGCCCCATTTACTAGTTGTCTTATTGTTAAAGGCTTTGAATAGGATGGCGGCTCATTTAACTGTAACTTTAAGTACACGATGATTAATGCAGCTATTACAAAAGGGCTATTGATACTTTAATTACCTCCAAGCCACGTTGGCAGAAAACTTTGCCCCGGTGAAGAGGTGGTCGCTCTCCCCCCTCAATTTAATAAAGAGGGCAGTTTGATCCTTGCTCCCTAAAACAAAACGACATGTTCAAGTAAGTTTTATGCTTCACATCACCAAACAGTCAGCAGCCTAAATCGCAAAATAACCTAGTTACATTAACCGTGTACTATATATCAAGGTTTTTGTTACCGTTACTAACGTTAACGGTGTGAAAACCAAGCAGGGTTCACAACCCGTCTAACGTTACGTGGTCACGTTATTTTCATGTACATAATATTAAGTATAAGTGATGTAGAATATCGCAACAATCTCGGTAAGACGCAGGTCTGACTCTGAACCTCTTCGATTTAAAGTAAAGACGTTAAAGGCTTTATTTTTTAGGTTGTAACTTGCTCTAACGATTTGCATTTAACGTTAACGTTAGCACATCAGTAACCTCAGGTAACGTTAACTTAACGTTAGCTCGCCAGTTAATCACTTAACTCACGTTAACTTCTTCCACAAAACTATTCTTTAAACGACACATTGCACTTTTATGCCTCTTGTTATTTTTACATATGTGTAGTTGGCTTTTGAAGTGAGTTGAAATCCAATACTTACATTTATAGGTAAAATCCGGGGGGCTCAACTCCACAGCCACAGCCGACTCCATTATTTACGCTGGAACAATCAACCGGCGCGCAATGAATGTCGGGATACCTGGGGCTGCGAAGGATCCAGCTGTTGGATCCTCCAAAAGGACGAAAAGAAGGCCGCATTTGTTGGCCGCATTTGAAGGAGCCTTCGAAATGGGACAGCCTAGTCACAATGCAGCCTTCGAAGGATGCGGTCCCTGAATTGAGACACAGCTATAAACTCCGCACTTGAACAGTGTTTCAGCCATGTTTATTTTAAATATAGTTCACAGCCAATAAAGCATACTTACAGATTGTGATTGTGAATTTCCAGGCCCAAACAGAGTTGGAGTTGAAATGTCTTTTAGGACTAAACTGTTGCCGGTGTTCTGACGATCTATGCTACCTTGCCGAAAAATGCTACCATAGCGCAAATCGATAGACTCGACTCTACTCAGCCCTGCTCCGTTTTCCATTGCAGATGGTACCCAGAGATTGTACGTCGCTATGACAACGCCACACACAACTGCCACGACGTAATGTTCAATACGACACACACACCAGCGATCCACACAGCTTTCTCTTTTTAAAGTTAAAATGTTCCAAAAAAAAGACAGATAATATTCTAGCACATTTTTGTTCCGCCATCACTTCTCATAAAACTGTCAATATTTGAAATCTACACAGCTGATTTCTCACCTCAAAACTTCTCAGAAGTGGATTTAGTGATGAAATTCCATACAAAAACTGTAAAAAAACTTTCTGTTGCTGGGCTCTGTCTGGTGCAGCGATGATGATGCAGTGAATAGTAAATATTCTCTCTGACCAATCAGCAATCTGTCGTGTTTTCACGTTACATTTTAGTATCCCTCAGCTCGCTTGGAACCTCGATGGAGGTGATACGAAAAAAGCTACCTGGAAGCAGGTACAGGTACAACATTTCTACAATGGAAAACCAAACAAAGGCGAGTCGAGCCATGTGGAGCTGGTACTGTGCAGTGGAAAAGGGGCTTAACTAAAACCAAAGGGCCTCCGCTCAGACTAGCTTTGTTTGAGGGCGTGCATGACCCCGCTAGCCGCTCGGCAAGCTTTATGACACGTTTTCATTCAGAGCAGAGTTTTCTGTGGGAGATGGGAACTCCCTTTGGCTGGACTTTGGGCTTTTTCACTTTGCAAACCTGTTACATGCACAAAAAAGAGATATAACTCAATAAAGGAGAGGGGGGAATACCATAAAATACCACCTCTTTAAGTGAAAACCAGTATGGATTTAGGGAAAATAGAATAAGTACCTATGCAGTAATGGCGATGGTAGAAAAATAACAAAGGCAGTTAAAAATGATGAGGGTTCTATTTACCCACAGAAGATTTTCAATACTATAGATCACAGCCAATTACTGAGCCTGTCACTCGGCCGCCATCTTGGCAACGCCTCCAGGGCAGCTATTTCAGACTAACAAGACCAGGCTCCTGTTTGAATGAATGGGGAGAGAGTCAGAACTGCACTTTCACTTGTCAACAGGACAAGTGACGACTTTGCCCCAAAATAAGGTTTAAAAAGCCTTTTTCCTGATCGGCGCATGCGTAGTAGAAGGTAAACAGACCCTTACGTCAGTGGAACCACACGACTGGCTGAAATGTTTCCCGCTTTGGCTGTTAAAAGCAGACGATTGGCTTACTAGCGGGAGGGATTTTTGCCGTCACGGGCTTTCCCCATAGAGTTGTATTGAGGATGTGATCGAGTGGTGTGTCCCCTCTACAAAATGTCTGGTTAAACTTACTCTGGGCTGAAAACCTGCTAAGACAAAAAGACAGTGGTGTGTGCAAATGAATAACACTGTGACAGGATTTAGAAAGGTGAACAACCCCAGAGATCAGTGATTGGTCCAAAACTTATAGAGGATATACTTTGTATACTTTAGAATAGAATAGTTTATTCATATCAAAACCAGTGGTCGCAGTCTTTTTCTGTTTCTGAGTGCTGGATGCCTGTGATGGCCTAACATGCCTCAAGGACCCCCTCTGGGAGCAAGTACCTGCACCCTTGTGACCATATCTGTACATGGATGTATCATGCTTCAAGCCTCATTCAAGTCATTTAGCTTGTTGAAATGCATCTGTGGTAAGCAGGCAGCCGGTTTTCCCTTGGGCTGTAAGAGGATGGAAGAGCTTTGCTTTGGGAGGACTCTTTGCTCATACAAGTCAACGTTACGGAGAGAGACGCAGTCCCGCACATTTGAAGTTCAAATAACAATCAGTAAAATGCAAAGTGGGGGTGTCGGGACACAGGCTGCTTGAAGATGCACTACGAAACGCTTTCAGTGCTCAGTGGAACTGTGGCAGAGATAAGACGGGATTGTAGTCCCTTTTCTACTCCAACTGTGTTATGATGACACAGGCCTTGAGTTCCTTTTGTAATCAATTGTAAACAATTTTGATGAGGGACAGAATTATATTAGTGTATGTTTTGAGTTTAATTAACAAAAATCTGTATATCCACATATAAACAATTATTGCTAGCTTTTTTGTGTGCCTGTGTATGAGTGAGAGAACGAAATGGTATATCAGCTGTCAGAGTGAATGCTTGTCAAATGGAGCAGAACAGGCCAGTTAAATAGAGAGATCCAGAGCGGAGATAGTAGGATTAATTGGCCATAATTGGTTGATGTGTTGGTGTTCCAAATGACCCAGTTTAGCTGGCGACCCTCCTCCCTGTGCCTACAGAGATCTTATGTGTCTGACTATTTCTTAGCCAGCAGAGACTTATTCACCTGGCTTTCATATTCACCTATATATCAGTGCTGACGGTTCGAACAATGTTCCTATGTCACGTTATATTCATGTACTTTAGAGTGTTTAATTACGTTGTTAGTGTACATTTTAAGCATTATTCTGTAATTGTTACACATGGTACACACACCAAGTATTTAGTTCTTATAGACAAAATTACCAAATACCAACAACTCACTTTGTGCTGCATTATTTAAATCAACCTCCCACATGTGCACCATGCTCACTGCACAGGGCACAAAACTACCAGAGAGAGGAGCAAAAACGTCAGGAAAACACCAAACTCTCAGGGTGCCGCTCACACACTGGTCCTGGTTGCACTGGTCCTGGTTGCACTGGTCCTGGTTGCACTGGTCCTGGCATAACTAATTATTTTGGGATTGTACTCATGGAAAATCTTTCTGGAAAGATATTAAAAGCTTCATAACTGATGACATATAAAATGTAGTTTGGTTATTATGATGAAAACAAGCAAGAAGAGATGTAATTAAGTTAATTATAATAGTGACAAAATACCATATCCACATATCACATATGCTAATTTAAGACCTTTATGATGATGAAATCAAACAGTAAATTAACTCCTAACCCAAACTAGCTTGTCGTCCAGGTGCACTGCAAGGTATTTGTAGGAGTGAACCACCAAGACATCCACTGCCTGGAGGGATACAGGATCAGAGGAGGCTTAGTCTGGCGTTCTTTGTCTTGCTAATGTTCAGCTATGCATGGTTCAATCTGCATCATCTAACAAAGTCATCAACCAGGTCTCTGTTTCCCTCCTCATGTTGTCCACAGAAAAGAAGTTCTCTGAGGACTCTACCACTGTGGGGGGCACAGTGGTAGAGTCCTCAGAGAACTTCTGCAGGTGGCATACCTTGGAGTCACAGGTGTATAGTGTACACAGGAAGGGGAGAGAACAGTCGCCTGGGAGAAACTCAAGGGGGTAAGCGAGAGATTGAACTGTGAAGCCGACCAAAGCCTGCATGGAGGGTTCCATGGGTTCCACCAACGCTACGTTGGTGTTTAGCAGATGAGACTTGTAGGTGGGCTGAACAGTCAGGATCCGAGTCAGACACACTGAGTCAAGAGACTTTTTGTTGGTGCACCTATGCAGCTACCAGCATTATGGTGTTCCTGCTGTTGATCTTTGTCATTAAACCACACTTATGCTGCGCGATCATGCACAGTAGACGCTGGTGCAAACAAGAAGTAGCCCTGTAGTGGTATTTGATAGGACCAAAACTGGCTTCACTGCTCTCCATTCAAACCAGGGTGGCTTTGTCCAGTAATATACTGTCTATGGGGAAACTGTAGTCTGCCACTCAGTTGATCCATTATCCAGGACACCGGTGGAGTGTTCACCTGCATGGCCCTGAGCTTCTCTCCCAACAACAGAGGATGTATAGTTTTAAGAGCACTGGAGAAATCAAAGAACCTCACTGTTCTCCGTGACATCGTCCACTCCGACGTTCTCCTGGTAGCCAAACTGCAGGTGCTCCAGTGCTGGTCTGACCAGCGGCCTGAAGTGGGAGAGAAAGTCTTGTAAGGTCTGTAGTCATTTAAGACTTTGGGGCCAGTTCTGGGCTCCGGGCTTGGTTCTGGGCTAGGATTGGAGGGTGTTGCAATGTGAGACGGTGGGAGAGGGCCAATGGGTCAGAAC